GCAAAATTGTGCATAGAAAATGCCGAAAATATTCGACAATCATTCAAAATTACACTCATTTGTAATTTGAGAAAACAGTCTTTAAACTTGAGGCGTAAATAGTCGATAATTTTATCCTTTTGTCGGTAAAATTTGCTAATTTCCAATCAACTGTTGATCAAAGATATAAAAGTATCACCTCGTGTTATATCTGGTAATTACATGTACTGTACAGCGCGTGTATACATTAGTCTGATCACTATTGCGTGATAATGATCGTAAGCGTTATCGCTGATTGGCTTATCGCTTCACGGGTCGATGTGCATAGGACCGCCTACCTATAGACTGACACGCGCTGACGCATTTGTGTATTTGTGGTTGTAAACAATCGGTAATGTTTATGCGTCCCCAGGCAAAATTAAGCGTACGTGGAATCCTTGCTCTGAAATATTTGCGTCCAGCTGTAATAAACATGCGTACCGGGACGCCGAAATAAGCGTCCCCGAGAACCCTTATTAAGATGTGGTTGATGATAAGGAACATATATTTGAAGTATGAAGTTGATCCCTTAAGAAATAAGGAAATAACGATAGAAAATAATATTTTTTAAGTAAAATTCTAAGTTCAAGGGGAGATAAATCTGAAAATAGTGGTGCTAGAGTTATGAACCTTGTCACATAAGATGTGGTTGATGATATGGAAAACCAAAACTTTAATCTGAATAAGGACGCGGACGCCGGGGCAAGTAGGACGGCTCTCCATATACTTTGTATAGTCAAGCTAAAAATGAAAAGTAAGAAAGTGTTTTATGCAGTAAACATTAATAGAAACATAAAAGTGATATGGCACTTTTTGTACTAAGAAGCGAGGAATGATATTTTATCTTTTCTTGCATCCTAAATCTATAGTAAATGATATTTTTACCGTACCTTTCTTGCCTATTAAATGTATGGTATTGTACCTTACAATATTGCTTTAGCAATGATGTTCCAGGGTTTTCACATGTTTGTTTACACAAAATATCCATACATATATCTAATTTCTATTATAATACATAATTATATTCATTAAACTTTATGCTTTAAACAAAAAAATAGATCTTTTTACAACATTACCATTAGACAGGATTAATTTTGACCCCAGTGACACTACTGAAGTTTTCCAGATTGTATGTAAATGATAAGCAGACTGGAAATTTATACACCTGACAATCTATTTTCCTTTCTTCGAATTTTTCCATGAATATGTGACCATAAGGCTTGGAATTTTTTTAACAACATAGCAATATTCTGAGGTATCCAATGCATTTCTCTGCTTAACTTCAGCTAGAAACTTTTTAAAAGGAAGTTTTTCACATATTTCCAATACAATTTAGGTGAAACATGTAGGTCCACTGGCATTCAGGGCTTCCATTAAGATCCAAAATTTGGAAGTCAAAGCCTGCAAAATGTCTTGACATTGGAAGTAACAAAATATTGGTAAAGAAGAAAAATGCATTACATTTTGGAAGTCACAAGCCAAATTCAAGGAGTGAAAAGACTCACAAACTTCCATTAATGGAAGCCCTGCCATTACTATGAAAATGGTAGCCTGATGTTCATTTACAAAAAGTGTTTATAACTTTATCATTCAAACAAAAAGTTTCTCCAAAAATTGTGTATTTCTCATCTAAACAAACAACTAGGCACATTTCAACATCTTACAGTTCACATATATTCGTCTTACATGTCCACAGATATATATACAATGGATAGGAAGCTCAGAAAATAGTTGATAGTCAGATTCAGATCCACAGTGCGCTTCGGTGAAAATCGGGTTTTCCCACTAGCCCCCGATTCTCTCACTCTCGTTAAACTTCGGCGATATCCATGAACTACTGTTTACATTGCCGACATTGTTTTTTTTTTTTGAGAAATATCTGTGTGGAAAAGTGTGTATGGTACGTTTTAACATAAATAACTATTGCTTCTTATGTAAGTAGAAAATGCTTCGTCTTTTTTTTGTCAATGTTCCTCTTGGAATTAAATATGGCGGTATTTTGGCTACTATTACCCAGGATGCATCAAATCTTGGAAAATCCAGAAACACATGATAACTTGCACAAGAACAACCCCAATAATACTGAATTTAACTGTATGACGTCTAAGTTACTTCTCCATCTATATTAAGCTCCATGAAATGTCCAATCAATCAGTAAATCAATAAGTTGATTGATCATTAGAACATTCAATCAACAATCATAAATCAGAGAATGAATCATCGAGTCAATGAAATCGAAGAAATCAACACTCTGAAATTAAACAAATTACATCAACATAAAAATAGAGTTAAATCAATTTCCTTTGTCTGAAATGCATAATTATCATTTAAATAAAAACCTCCAAATTTATGGTCAATTACAATAAACCCATTCACAGTTTCTATATGATCTACGTAAATAACCGAGGTATATCAAGTGAAAAAATATGAGTTGCTTCCCTTATCTTCGAGTAAAATTGATATCTCTTATGCTTAAACAAAACCGCTAGTTTGTTCTGATTAAATGTCCGCTTTTAAAATGTATTACACCAATAGCAAACGTTGGATCTTAGCTTCATCACAGTATATTCTTCAACACATCTTTTGACAAAGTATTCAAATGAACAGTTAACCCTACCACATTGCAGACCATTTTACATACAATTTATACAGTGAGAAAACAACCGGTTATCTTTATTCCTAAAACTACTGATAAGAAAAGCCTCTCGTCTGCTAGTTCTGAAAGTGTTTACCGGTGTATTAAATATTTACAACACATTGAACAGCTTACTTAACCTGTAGGTATATTAACTTATAATATAGCTATATGCTTTCTATTGGCCGCCACAATCATAAGTTCATTTAATGAAGTTATAATAAAATACATCATAATCATAAATACATTCTAAACTCACCAGTTCGTGTAATTGAATGTACCAAAAAAAGCATTATCTTCTTCAAACACGCATACTGTCAAACTCTCTCTCTCTGCTGTAACTTCTGCAAAATATAATAAACACAATGTGCAAAGTGATATGAATAAATTGTGAGATTAAGTAAACAGAGAGCTAGATTAACGGATTTTTCTGAAAACAATTCTCAAAGGTTCCAAATCACGAAAACTGATGACATTTCAAATCAGACCACACTCGTTACTTAATTAAAAAATCATCTATGACAAACACTAATTTAAACCAAATGCAACTCAAAATAATACTGACCAACTATCAATAATCCATATTTCCAATAAATTAAGAACACTTTGAACTTTTTACAAACAAAGCCGCTTAAACATAGACAAAACTAGTGATATTGCGGGAAAACAAGGGAAACAACTCAAACAACACAAAAAAAATATATCAAGACACCTGAATTATCAACACTGTTATACATCATGAAATCCAAATAAGAATTCCAAAACAGATTACATTAAGTTCAAATAATATTGGTAAGTTTTCTGTACCTACTTTTAGAAAATGATGAGATCAGCTTTCACATACAAATATAGCGTTGAAAACTTTGTTTTGGTACGAACTACTTCCTTACGCAAAGTTAACGCGAATGAATACTAATGATATTTTTTACTGATTATATCCTGAAAACATGCAAATAATATACGATAGAAATAACAAAATCAAAAATGAACTACTGACAATTCAAAATCTTATCACTTGTGTGTGACAAGAAAATCTGTGTAGAACTACTTTGCGTTGTTCGGTACCCATTCTTCTATTGAAATCCCGCAAATTGTGATAGAACTGTATTCACTGCTAACGCAGCGAATACAAAAACCACAATTATTGCACTCCACATAACTTTAATAAACTCAGGTAGAAAATATAAATCTTTCAATAATTTTCTTGAAATTGGGAAAGATACAATTAAACATGATGTTCTTTTTGCGGATTTTCTGTCTGTTGTTTATCTTTTCTAATGTATTTGCTATCGACAGGGGGACTTTACATATTTTTAATTGAATGTGGACAATGTACACAATACTATAGCTCATTTGCAAACGGCATCGTTCACTCTCGTATCTAATGCAAGTTGATTTTCAAATTTTTCATGACTTCCATTTTAAAATAGATATAGATGTTGAATAAATCAGTAGTATGACATTATATAAATGTCACATCACACTGAGAGTGATAAAATGAAACGTCCACCCAAGTCAAGTGGTATGAATCGGGGCGTTAACCTAGATTGACGTTATTTAGTCAATAATGAACATTTTGTTTTATTTTACCTCAATGTAAAACTCACACAGGCCTTTTATGTTTTCTGATTGAAAATCACCCTCCTAAGATATATCCCATTGGGAATATTTCTTAAATCACCGTGGAGCACATTATCATTGTATAACTTCATATGTAGCATTGTTTTAAAGTTAACTTGACTTTGTTAACTAGGCTACGTTTCATAGTTTAAAATGTCATATTCACAGAATAATACATGTATATTTTGTCTCAACTTTATGTAGAAATGTATAAAATTATTCTTGAATTCTGTTTGTTAGGTTTATTGTTTTGAGCAAAATTAAATTGTAAAACTGATAATTTGTATTATATTTATTTCCTTGACTGCGTTCTACATAAATATTGAAGTTGTAGCTGCGCCTCGGAGTAATATACAAGTTCTCCAGCTGACAGTATCCGCTATCACCCCGACAGCCATGTGTTATTTATATATCATCACCCTCGTAGGAATTGTGTGTTAATTATAGATTTGGACATTTCATACATTACAACTAATGACTCAAACCCAGCACCCGATCTGTGCATGTAATGTCAGCGGGCCCAAATGAAAATCGTGATGTTAACATGTGACGTTACAGTAGACTATATATAAAAAAATCACGTAAATTATGATTAAAGATAATTCAATTTTCAAATTTTATTTTAATGAAAACGGAGGTGAACAGTTGTGTTGAAATGTTCGTCTCGTCCATACACATTCATCTCAATAGTAGGAATGACTGATGCTTATTCTTTTAACGCGTAATTATGAATAATTTAAATATTGAGAAAAAGGGATTGTTGAACATTTCATTATCTGCGTTGTCGCTCATCAACTTTGTTGTAATCGCTATAAGCAAGGGGTTACATTTTGTCACATTTTAAAATAAACAATAAGGCATAAATGACAAAAATAATACACTGAAACATGATCAAAACATATCGAAAAAGTTACTCTACATGTATATAGCGGCAAGGTTGTATGTCCCTAATGGACAATATCAGGAACTGAAAAACTGACAATACCTAATGTGCTGTGCAATGATTAAAGGTCAGCCAACAAAGCACACAAGCACAAGTGCAATACAAAAAGAAGCACAAAATATAAATTAAATAAATTTACTTTGTTAATGGGCTTTTTTATTACGCTTTATATTACGTATTTATCTTCGGACAAAATCATCCATCAATTTTGTAAAGCAAGTCAATTGAACAAAATGTAAATTCAGTATGAAGTATGTAATGGATATGTTCTTAGACGCATTTCTTCCATGCAGTTTATTTTAATAAGTTAAATTAGTCAATATATTTTAATCTTTATTCAGATAACCCCTTCAACGCACATATTACAATATAATGGCGACAAAAATCTATCGCAAGTTCCTGAAACGGATGAGCAGGTATATTGTGTATATATTTATCTTTATTACGCTCGTTGTTATGCTTTTCCATGTATAGATATGTTTTTAACAGATTAGAGATTAAATTAGCTTCCCATAACAGGTGTCCATTTCTTGATTTTTTATTATTTATTTTCACAGAGTAATTTGTCATGTTTTATTAAAAGAGAGATACAGGCAAAATTTTCATTTCTTCGTTTTGAATTTTTGATATATTGTTCTGTAAAAACGAATACATTAGGCAGGGACAGGAACAAAACTATTCCCCTTATAAAGAATAAAATGACGGTTTCCTAATTTGACCCACGGAAGGTAGGTTAGACCGTTAAGATTTCACAATAGTTGTCACGGTGAACTCTGGAAACGTTAAAGGACATGCAAAATGAATTGTTTAAATTATAAAATATCCACAATATCTGCTTTCGCAAATTCCACCGTTTGTTCAAGTCACATGCCTTGTTTTAAAACTACTCGATGATTCTGTTGGCGTCTAAATTTCGTTCAACAATTTAAGATATATTTACGCTTCTATCCAAAATATATAGAATGTATACAGAAATTCTGTACTGGGACTTAAAAAATCTATTTAAGCGTGATTTGAGTATATAAGATCATTTTAATATTCTTTTCATTAATTATCCCTAATTGAAAATAGTTTATCAAATGTGCTTGTTTTTATAATAAATATAGCAATTGAACATCTTATTTCAATATCTGCAGATATTAGAAATTGAACCGGTAAAGATACTACGGGGAATAATACAACTTGAAGGGGACGCTGAAAACCTTTACGAAGAACCTATTACCATGGTAAGAGTTGAAACTATTGTAAATTGCATTTGAACGTAAAACCTTACCAATGAGATTAACGTGCACGAAAGTTGTTGTTCTTTTCTTAGTAAAAATTGCTACTTGAATTGGTTTTAGGAAAACAACCTTCTGTCATTAAACATTGTTTAATTTAATGTATTGACCAAGTTTACAAAAACAAAAGGATAATTTAAACTATCAAAAAGATTCTCTGAAACGTTGCATTATTAAAGAGAATTATGATTGAAACAAATGGATAAAAATCTAACTTACTAACAAACGAACGAACTCAAAACTGCGCCAAGCAAAACGTCATTTGATTTCATCAATATTATATGAATATTCCAAGTAGACCCGGCAGCAATTGTTTGATATGTGTTCGGTGTAGAAATATATATGAGAGTTTTGTCTATAGCCAGATGCTACAAAAAGCAACTACTATGGCACGGGTGTTGAAGATGCATGGGCAATGGGTTGCACCGGCAAAGATGTCGTCTTAGGTCTTGTAGGAGTAGGAATAGATACACAATTACTCGATTTGAAAGAAAACATTGTAAGACAGTTAATTTGCTAATTATATACCACACTTGTACATATTCACACATATAAAAAGGATTTTTGATAATTCACTTGACACTAAATCAATAAAGTTTGAAGATTTAATAAAGTTTTGTAAATGTAAGTTTAAATGTAATTATGTATTAAACCTTTTATGAAATTCTTATTAGTGTTTAAATTTAATGTTATAAAATTATTTACATGCTCTTTCAGAAAAAAGACTGGAGCTTTAATTTTGTTCAAAATAATACCAATGTGGCTCCTGAACACTTTCAAGACCATCCAGAAACTTTGCGTGATACAAAGTATGTTCCGGTTGATATAATGAGAAATATCTCTGTAATATTTTATTTTAAAAACCAATGAAAGTTTTAACTTGTGATCCAATATGTTCATAATTATTTACTTAATGTTCTAATACAAAATCAGGTTTAAGTTAAATGTCATTTACACAATCAATTATAGAGCAAATATAGCTTTATTTACGAAAGTAAAAAGTGACATTGGTTCAAATTTACGTAAGTGCGATTGCAATTAAGTTAGAATTTTAATTTTACAATTATTAATAAACTGATCAAAAGTAATTTTGATCATAGATGGGAATGATTTTCATCATAAAATTTAGAAACAAATATAATTTGAATTCTTTTAAGTATGTAAATTACTAAGGATTATGATATAAGCTAAAACTAAGATAGAAGTATTGATTGGCGTGATCAAAGTAAAGTATTCTTATCTAAGTATTATACATTGGTTATATAAGCTATTTTGGATCCCTCGGCAACTGCGACTTTCACTGATAAACTACATATCGATTTGATTTACAGTTCCTTTTCCAATGATAGCGCACACACAAATCATATTAAGTTTAAATACTTCAGTTTTCATATTTCATATGTATGCAAATCGTGATCTAGGTAGTGCCTAGCAATTATAAGAGAACGCAATAAAAAATGGGATTTGCCCCCCCCCCTCCCCCCAAAACATTCAACAAACAAAAATAAACATACAAAATCAAACAAACTCACGACCAACCCCCCCTCCAAAATAAACAACAATAAATAAATAAAATAACAAAACTAGAATCTCATAAGCTTACAGCAAACAGGTTGAACTGGATGATGACAGGCAATTTGCAACATATGCCGTTTATATCAGACCGAGTCGTCAATATTAATTTTGTAAGTTCAAATTTTACATAGGCAGTATTAGGCAATATATGTAGGTACTAATACAAACGCGCATTCGGAGAAATTCATTAATCGATTTGCCCGACATCCAAGATATGTTTTTTGACATTTATCTTAAATATCAAGTCACAAGGGTACGTTACACTACATTTGGTGTAATCATAGAGCATAGTTTCAATTTATATGAAGAAAAATGAAGCACTAGAAATGTCAGATGGATCTAATTAGGTACGGTGTCGTTTGGGAGTAGCTGCAAGCAATATACTAAATGAAGATAATAACATCTGTTGGATCCGCGAGTATCAAAAGGCACTGTTATAGGTTGTTTAAAGTATTAAAAACAGCACCGAGGCTGTCAAAGACCAAATAATGGAATCATTTCTAGAAACACTGCAGCTGTAGGCCGTTTGTAGAGAATGACGCAATGTATACTTATTATGGGATAGCTCATTTTCTAGACTAAAGACTATCAACAGGGACAGTGATGCTGCTGTTTATGCTAATAACCATTCAGAAATAAAGTATATCAAAGTTTGCCATTGTAACATTGAAAAGATAAATCCCAGGAGATTCAATGATTTAATTACGGGAGACAAAAAACGTGTTTGGGTACTTAGAGCCACAGAGACGCTGAAAAAATAAGTTTTACAAACTTCTAGGTGACAAAACTTTTACTGGAAAGTTTAAAAGGATATTGTCCAGAAATAATTTAAGCATTTTATAAAAGGTAACACCCTTGAAAGAATTTACGAAGGCTCTATCATGAACATCACAGTGGCTTCTCCCATTATTTTGCCTCAGTGAATTCTCGTTGCATCAAGTAAGTAACCTTCCCTTTTCTCCTGATCTAGGCCTATTTGACTTTCAGTTAGTCTCTTAAGTGGAAAACAACGTCGTTAGAAGTTAAAATAGCATTGTACCAGTGTCTTCTGTTCACCAAGTGGGACTACTCCGAGACATTTTCAAGGAAGAACAAAATGACATGGAAAATATAGTCTGCGCAAATGCATTCAACTAACAATAACTAAGAAAGATTTACAACACTTTAACGTGTTGCTATGAATATGAATCTTTTTTACTTAACGTGTTTAGAATGAAGGAAAGAAAAGAAATAAATAACATGAGTAGGAAAGGCCCATAACTAATATGTTGCATATATGTACATTTTATTTCTCTAAAAAATGCTTTATCATAATTTTAACCGAATGAGTTCTATTCCTGTTTGCATTCAATGAAATAAAATAGTTTGCTATTATTTTAGTGTTATATAATTACGAACAAATGTATTTCGAGATAAAATTCTAGAAGAGGTACCTCGGCTTGAACAGAAATACACGGAAATTGCATACTCGATTTTTACCTTTTTATACATGAGAGTTTGTATTGTATTATTCAATCAAATTTTCCTTTTCTTCTTCAGTCATGGAAATAATGTCGCAAGTATAATTGCTGCTGTAAAAGACAACAATTTTTGTAGCGCAGGAATAGCTTATCATTCACAAATAGTTGGTAAGATTGTCTCATAGATTCCATGAATTGAGACCCCTTAATAACATATAAGAACTGAGTATAATGACCTATCTGAACATTCCTATGCAAAATTCAACAAGAAAATTGTTAATTTGGATGTCAACTTAAGTATGAATATATAAAGTCTTAAGGCCATACAGAACTAATTCTAGTTCGGTTGTGTAGGAAGCTAAAAGCTATTATAAATACTCACGAATCCGTTTCTCGAACCAACCAGCAAGATCGTAAAGTGTCTTGTCCAAGGAACAACGATTTGCTTCTGTCGAGGTTGGAACCCACGCGGCTAGAGAATTTTAGACTTTAAAGCTATAACCAGTAGCCATGCCGCCACATTTTTTCAGGAAAATATAAAAATGAAGTAATGTAACAATCAATATTTTAAGATAACAGTAGTTTCTACCTTAAAATGTATCACTTCCCATACTGATAAATTATGGCTTTGTTTATATTTGATATTCTAATGTTTTTTTTTTTTTAATTATTTCAATTGTTTCAGTTTTGAAAGTATTTGAGTTTAATTATACTGATAATTCAAAACTTAGTCGAAACCACTGGACAGCTTCTGATGCTTCGTCAAGAGCACTGTCTATAAACTACATGATATTGAAATACTAGTAATGGCATGGACATTACAGAGAACATTTCATAAATTAGACTTACCAACAAGGGAAGCAATAATTGAAGGAGTTAAAGAAGTAAGTATGAACATGATAGGTAAGTAACTGTTTTATCTTATTTTCTTTCAAAAAAGTAATTGAGAAACAAATATCACAAGCAAATCGCAATCAAAACTGTCATTTTTCAGTCTAAACAGTCCAATTTATTATATGTCAAAGAAACAAAAAATAAATGCATTCGCGTGTAGCAAGCGTATATGCGAGGACTGATTGATAAACTCGCGGCATTGTATTATCTCTTTAACATTTAAAGAAAAACTTACAAAACAAATTACACCAGATACCTTTACCCCTGACTGACAGAAAGCCAAATAAATCATTGAGATAAATTGAACAATACAGTTTACATGCAAAATCAAAACACTACACTATCCTACACTTGAAGCACATCGATGCGACGTTGTCACACACTGACGTCATCTTAACGTTAAATTTTAATGTCCGGTTCACCTTTTCAACGTAATTATCACCGGTAGTGACACATTTTTATGCCTGTGTATCCATTGGTCAAAAGTCACTTTAAACCAGTCTGAACTGAACGACAGAACTATCTCGCGCGCCCTGGTGCGTAACTCTAATGGTGTTTAAAATCGTTGGCCCCTCGTTCCTTCTTTAAATCGGGGACACAAACGGAAGTCTAATGGAGCCAAGTCCGGGATGTACGGTGGGTTCCCGACATAACACCTGAAAGTTGATAACGCATAACGACTGCATTAAGGCAATATTTTAAAATGCATGTTCTAAAATTAAATAAAGTATTTATAGAAAGATTTTTAATAACAAAATAGTAACCGTTATATTTTTTTATTTTTACCTTTGAATAATATTCCACATTTACGGTTGATCCCTCTCGCACCTAGTGTTGTAACAGGAGCCCATGCCTATCAACCTATCAATGAAGTATTAATACATTTCCTTCTTGGCACTTCGCTGAATTCCAGCCTTTTTGGGTGGAGGTGTGTCAGGTGACTTTCAAATAGAAGACTGGTGTTTGGATGCGGGATCGCATGTCTCGTCCGTGGACATGATCCTGTCTAAAATATCTTCGCTATGTGCCTTGTAACGCTTGAGAAATTCTTGAGAACACTGTATGCGCTTCTCTCTGTCGACTTCCGTCAGAATGCGGGGTACCCAGCAAGCAGCAACTTTCGATATGTTGAGCTCTTCTGTATGATGTTCTTCCTTCTCTAAACCGCTCATGCCATTTATACACAAATGTCTTTCCACATCGAGGTTAACGCTGCTGCGAAATAATCGTTCTATACATCGTCCTTTAACTTTCAGGAAATGATGTCAAGGCGCCATGCTAATTTTCACGTGTAAGCGCCAATTTGCTTTAATATTGCTTCCGCAGTGACATTTATACTATATCATGTATACTTAGAAATACAGCGTGCTTCAAGTCACAGAACAGTGTTTGTTATGGACACGGTGTATTCGTAGGAAAAATATGATATATATTCGGCAATATGGATGTGTAATTGCAAACATTTTGGTTTATTCATGTAGTTCAATAAAATAATTTTGTTTTTTTAGTTTAATTCCGCAAATTTATCAATCAGCCCTCGTATAAGCCACATTGTGAACTATTAGGCATAATTATTAACTGGAGAGAATATTGATAATATTTTGGTAATTATTTTTTGTAGTAAAATATATTGCTATTAATATATCAATGAAGTATGTTATTGATGATAGTTGCATCTAGTGTTATCTTGCATGCGAAATTAGTATAATTATTGCATCAAATTTACAAAAAGATAATAACTATATACTACTATGGTGGCATGATATTCATAACAAACTCTTGCAGATATATGACAAATAACTGTTTACTTATTTATTTTATTTTTATTAATCATTTATAGCCACAAATGACTTGAAATCAATAAATATTAGGTGTTCTGTACATTTTTATAGTATCAACATTATAAGCTTACTATTAAGATTGATTGTCGCCGATTTTTTATTGACTCAAAAAAGTTTATTTAAGCATATTTGGTCAAAATATTCAATTATATATATGGCAATTGCATACATCCAGAGTCAAGGTGCAAAGGTGCAATTGTACCGATATTTAAAAAAGAGCACCGTAACCATCCAGCTAACTACCGTGGCATTACCTGACATTATTTGATTACAAAAATATTTTCTTTATATCTTAGGAGTATAATAGATAAATAGCGTGAGAATGAAAATGTATTAAATCCCATACAGTTTGGATTTAGAGATGAAAGAACTACCACAGATTGTGATTTCATTTTAAAAAACATAATACAAAATGTTTTTTTCTACAGAAACACAAACTATATTGTGATTTTATTGATTATGAAAAAGAATTTGATAGTGTTAACCACAATGCTTTATGGATTAAATCAATTGAATCATGGTTGTAAAAGTTGTAAAATGATAAAAAATGATACAAGTTATATATGCAAATGTTAAGTCATAAGTTAACTAGAAATGTGTCGTCACGCCCCGCATGCAGCCAAAATTTCAAATGTTATAATATAAAGTTCCAAATTTGTTTGTACAAACTTTTTTTTTCATTTTAAGTTCAAAGCCCTTAAAACTATTCAATGAGACTCAAACCATTTTTATACAAAGTTCAAAGCATAGAAACTATTCAGTGTTAACCTTTTGTAAATTGCATATTGCATATTCGTAGCCAAAATAATGACTACATGCATTTCCACAAAAGTATGAGTGCTGAAACTGTAAATTCAATTTTTTTCGAACATTCAAGAGAGATAACTTTGTCCGAAATCATTGTTCGATCTTGAACTGCTTATTCTTAAGATGTATCTATATGTCAAATTTCAATGTGTACAATCATTGGGGAGATAATAAACGGAAACTTAAAATTTCTGATTTTTTTCAGAGTTCAAGAGGGATAACTCTGTCAGCTATCATTAAACCATGACCAAATTCGAACGTGACCAGTGTATTCTTATGACAACTATTTGGGAGATAATCAATAGAAACTGAAAATAACATTCTTTTCAAAGTGAAGGGGGCATAACTCTGTCAAAATCATTGAACCATGACCAGATTTGAAATTGACATGTGCATTCCTTTAACGTATAAATATGTCAAATTTGAGTTGAATGTGTATTAGTCCGATTAAAGTAAAATTTAACGTCAAACAAATTGCAACACAAGCTTTTTTTACATTTTTAGTTTGTTATACACATCATATAAAACAGGTAAAAACCCTAAAAAAATCTAACCATGGCAAACCAGTAAAAAAGCAATTCAAATTTTGCATCTGTTTCGAGTTTTTATATGGCTCTGCATGTACACCATACACAGAGTTTTATACTGTAACCGGTGTCGAGGTAAAAAAGTTATGAGGCCGCGCGATTTAAAATATATCAAAATTTACACATTTATACTTGGAGTTGGATTAAGAAGCTGTTGTGCCAAAGTATGTATAAATTTTTATATTATATTTACTTGTTTTTTACAACTTTTAGCCTCGTACATGCCCAAATATCAAATACAATGAATGAATTGTAATGGTTTTTCGCGTGTATATAAGTCATCGTTTGTCGTTAAAACAGTCAAGATTTTGCAATTTTCATGAGATATAAATAATCATTAGCCTATATATTAACATTTCTTTTGATAATAAGATGTTATGAAGTAGGAAAAAATAAAAATAAACAAATTTAAGTTCATCCTGGGTAGCTTCAAAATGTAACTACGGAAGCGTGTTTGGGTAAACAATGCACGAAATCTAGAATAAATTGTTATGAATTTTAGAAACTTAAATGCATGATATTTATTAACAGATCATTAGTTTTTGGTATAAAAATGTCAATGTGTATGATAGCTACTATGTTTTTATTTAATAACATTTGGAAGATAAGAATTGAAAGGTAATACTGAGCGTGATACGAGTATATTATCTTTTTATATACTAGTGATATATGAGATGTCAGGGGAGTCAAAACAGATACAGAATTTACAATGATTATGTAATTTCAAAATTGTGATTCCAAAAAAGGGAGAAAAACTTATTTTATAGTCACAGTAAGCAGTTCAAATTGTTGTTGAGCTCCATGGTTTAACCAGAAACATAGATAACATGCTATCTATGTCTCTGGTTTAACTAAATTGTGCTACAAATATTGATGAGGAGCTATATTCGGAGTTAACTGTTGCTTTGCCAGTGGTAATAATCCCCAATTTGAGAGTTAAATTCTTTGTACAATTTTACAAACACATGAGATAAGATAGTTTCAATACAAACGTAATGAATCAGAGATGTTTGTGCTAATATGGATATCTGTATGTCAATCTACACCGTCTAAACATGTCTATCTGCCTTTCTGTCCGTCTGACTCTCTGTTTTTTGTCTTTACCAAAAAATAAAATTTGATAGTTGTAAAACTTGATTCTGAGATACTGTTAACATCTGCCTATCTTTAATAGGGTTTGCTTTCCTTTCCTTATGCTGTTCGTCCTATATTTATGAAAACTACAGCATATGGTCTGTGAATCAAATTTAAAGTATTGGCCTAAACGAACAGATAACTCATTTATATGAAGTGATTGATAAATAGTTCGGGTGCTTTTTTTTGATAAGCCAAAAATGAAAGCCCTGTCATACCTACAACCATGTGACCACAGGGGAAATGCCTCCTTTTATTTAATTCTGTTTCCCAATAACAGTTACAGATGTAATTTAAATATCTGGTAAAAAGTGATAAAAAGTGATCCCTCAGATGCATTAAAAAGCAAAATTTACATGAAAATTGCAGAGCGGTTTGATTGAGTCTATATATGACGGATAATGAAAAAAGTGCAACATCCCTCATGCCCCCTAGCACCGGATTGAGCGGTACTAAATTCTCAACACTTTAAAGTGCTGGATTCAATGATCCCGAAATATTAGAAAAATATAACAATAATGAAGAGAAGTACAGGGCAACTTTTTACGGCTGCCACACAGCACTTCACATCTGCTGTTGTGATGTATAAATATCTGGTAAAATAAGTGATCTCTCGGAAGCATTAGAAACAGCAAATTTACTGAAAATTACAGGCATGGTTTATGAAAGCTGTATTTGACGTTGAACATACGTTTTGCTCTATAGTGCACCCAAATTTATGCATTTCTCTGAAGCGGACTCCACTTTTTGGGTAATATTTATTTGATGAATAGTATTATTTTTTTAAGACCAGACAATGTTTTTTTTGTAATCTCTTTTTAATTCCATTTTAGATGATTGGATGTAAAGCCGAAATGATAGAAAAGAGTATTGTTATAATTACGTCGAGAAGAGATAACTGCAAGAGACCATAATATGATAAGAAGTTCAGAAACAAGAAAAAAATGTTGAACGTATATTTATTTAATACAATAACTGTGTAAGTTGCAGAAAGAACATAAATTTCGTGGCGATGTTGTCAGTAAAGTTGAAACCTTCGACTTTCATGTTTAAATCAAGTCTTTGTGTAAAATAAGACACTTTAAGCGTGAAGTAAGGTCCTAGGAAGAATCAAAGGCGTAAATGGCCTCCTGACAGCTAAAATACGTTACCACCATTGTTGTAACAGTAACAGTTGAACATTTCAAGACGTTCTTTTCATGAAAAGTGCAAAAACACGACTTGCAAATCTAGTGAAAAGACCATCGAAAACAGCAGGAGAAAGCTTTTTAACCACTATGCAATACTTTGAAAGTTATTGAAAGGATAACTTTTTTTAAAGGTGACTAGGTGTAGTCGAACTAATGAGCATTATGAGAGACATAGAGATGTGGAGATCACTTTTAAATATCTCTTTATATAATAAGGAAGAAAACATAAATAGGTTAAACAAGATGTGATGGCATTCAATTTCAAAGGTGAAATATTTTTTAAAGCAACCTAAATGATCCATGACATAAAATTGGCATTTGTACATATAAAATTCTAATTTTGAACCATTACTAAAGACATAACTACAGCTCATTTTCAGCATTTATTCTTCACTAACTTAAGTGTTGTGCAATATAGATAGTTCGACAATCCTGGCGATGATAAATGAAGTTATTTCTACTAAATCATATTAAAAGTGATAGTTTGCATATCATTTATGGGTAACATTTGGATGGATGAGACTTAGGTAACGTACAAATATGTTAAATGACACAGCAAAAGACTAATTAACGAGTTACTTTCAGAAATTGAGTATATTACCAGATGCATTGTTTGTTGTAACTAAGTCTGTTTTCTTTATTTTCATAAATTTTTCCAAAATAGTTAAAAAATGCTAGAATAATGTCAATGTAATTGATGTAACGTATGTTACATTTTGCTTTTAAAATGTCTTAAGTGATAATGTTTCATTATTTATATAAGCTTATGTGATATAAATATTATTTGAACCTCTTTCCAATTGTAAATATTAGGTATTTTTAAGATAATGCAATTTGAACGTTTTGCATTATTATTATGTGTGGGTGGGGTAATAATCTTGTGTGTCACAAGTGAATAAATAATAAAAAAGAGGCCAAACCTGTTATTATTCATTGCAAATTCAATTTTTATGAACACCAATACATGCTGGCTAAAAAACTACCAATCTATAACAGAGAAAGACAAGACAGTCGCCACATATATATTAAACATATTACGATATTATATTACGATTTTTATGCCTGGACAGGTACCTGTAAACTACCTGCCAAAAGTCAAGTTTCCGAAGGTATATTTTTTTAGGGTTTTACTACAAGGTCCATGCATATATATTGATTGCAAAATACTAAAGAAAGCTTGTGTTGCAATTTGTTTGATGTCAAGCTACATATACTCATAACTTTAGTGGCCTATATTACCGTTGGGGAGATAATGAACGGAATTTGAAAATTTCATATTATTTTCAAAGTCAAAAGGGCAAAAATCATTAAACCATGACCAAATTCGAACTTGACCTGCGCATTTCTCAGACGTATCCATATGTCAAATTTGAGTTGAATGTGTAATATCGTTGGGGAGATAATGAACGTAAACTGACAATTTCATATTAGTTTCAAAGTGAAAGCGGCATAACTCTGCCAAAAATCATCGTACCATGACCAAATTCGAACTTGAACTTTATTTTCTCATGTTATATCCATATGTCATATTTGAGTTTAATGTATGCATCCGTTACTTAGATAATAAACGGAAACTGATGATGACGGAATGACGGAACAGGGTTACACTATAGGCCCCAGACATTTTGTGGCGGGGGCATAAAAATGTTAACGGTTTGTCATTCTCAGACGTTTTTATGGAACGATTGGTGTTGAACAAGGAGAGCCTTTACCCCCTGTTCGGTTTATATTGTTTTTAATTGACATGTGAGCCTTTATTGATATTGATAACCTTACAAATAACAATTTAGAGCTGTTATCTGTTTTTAAGATATTTATTGCTGATGACATTGTACTTTTTACTACAAATCCAGTTAGTCATCATTTGCAATTAAATGCTTTCGACAAATACTCCATTAAAGATAAATGTGAACAAAACCAAAATATGCATTTTTGAAAAACAAAGAACACATTGAAATTTTAGGTGGAATATAAATTGAAAAGAAAAACGGAAATAGAATTATTTGATGCACCTGTCACTCCAATAATAATGTACTGATCTGAAGTTATAACATTTCAGACGTTAATAAACTTCATTACATTTTTTGTTTCAAATATGTTTTGGGGGTAAGTCATTCTACATTCAATGCAGCCGCTGCAGTTTTCTCTCAGCATTACAATGTAAGCAAAGATCAGCAAAGTATTCCATTAATATATTTAATAACCCAAAGTCCTTGATGTAGAGTGTTATGATAGAATTTACCTTGTATGAAAGAAACGATATAAATACTACACGATCACATGTATGGTGTAAACTTTTTTTTAAAAAGTAAGATAATCTTAGATACGTATTTTTGTATAATAATTTAAACGATATTAAAGTATTCAAAATAGATCTTTTAAATCAAAGACTTAAAGATTAATATGTTCAGCAATGGAATTACTTAATATGTGACCAACCCAAATTAAATAATTATAAATCATTCAAAACAAAGTTCAGTTGTTCAGTAAAATTGTGGAATCTGCTTTGAAAACTACTCCAGTTTCGCACTGATATCGATTAATATGTACCGAAGGACGGAATAGTTGTATAGGGATGGGACTTAATGTTGCGAAATATACTTTTATCATTGATTAGTTTCATTTACATGTCTGTGTATCTTTAACAAAGGGTAGAAATGGCAGAGGTAAAATATATGTTGTGGCGGCGGGTCCGATTGGCAATGAGTTAACAAACAATATCAATACAATTACGGTAAATGGCATGAGTACAAATGGCTCCATTTCGACAAAGACGTATCGTGATACTAGCGTCCTTACGTCTGGACTTGCCGACGGTAACAGTCTTGTCTCGCCGTACATGGTAAATATATGTATTACAGCTTGTAACACTGGAGTAGTCTCAATGTTACAACAACGGAGTAATCAATTTGTAGCAACTACATATATTACTCAAACATCTTTTCAGTTTTATGACATTACGAGTTTATACATTTTTTTTCTGTAAATAAGTAAAACACAATAAAATGAATGAAACATTTTTTAATTAATATATGAGTATAATTAATTACGGTTTTCTAGCGTCAAACTTTGCTTGGAACAACGTTTGTTTAAGAGTTTCTCATTTTATAAATAAGTGTTTCTCATTTAATGCTATTTTAATAATATCACCTATTCTTTATTATGTTATTTGATGTGAACATCCAGTTGATAGATAATATATTTAAGTGGCATTTTGCTCCTTTTTCTTATTGTCAAGTTGGGCTGAATTGACTATATATTTCATAAAAATGACTGTTGTAATGGTGGTTGGCCAAATGTTGATACTGGAAACTGTTAAGGATGAAATATAAATCTGTCTAAAATATAAAAAAGACTGGCACACTCTTTTTTATAAATTAAAAGTTACGTTAAGTTTTAAATGGATATTTATAGAACTTTTATTGAGGGGCGTCAGTTTCAATAGTTCTAAGAAACTAAATTATAAAAATTAAAAGGCATTTATAGTTTTTGATTTTCACCTGTTTACTCATCATATATATCCTTGGGTTCGATTGGCATAATGTCACTTTAAGTGACACCAGACCATGATATAAAATAAATTATAAACATTGCCATGGTGAAGGCATTGTTTTCTTGCTATTTAAGTTCACTACTACAAGCTACGAGGAATGCAGTATCGGGTTTAGTGGTGTATCTGCAGCCACTTCACAAATTGCCGCAATCATAGCCTTAGCTCTTCAAACAAAGTATGTCTTTAACCTTTGAATATGAATAAATTTTACTGTATCAAGCTGTATCACTTTGCAATAACGAGCCATCGTGACTTTTGGACAGGGCAAAATTATCTTTTTTATTGTCTTTGTTTGGTTTTAAGGTGCACCAATGCAATTCATGTCACGTGGCACCAAAACAGGAAAGATGAGTCTAGGTTAACTCGGGTGTTACAAAACTAAAGCAAAACAATAGCCAAAATCACCTCCCCTCTGTCTGGAGATGCATAGACTTCAGTAATTTGAAAAAAAAAAATTGTCGCCTCTTACAATCACGAAGAAAGAAACAGTTGCTGCAATTCTGATGCCTCAACAATTAAAAGCAATCCCTTAGCCACAAAGGGCACGAAATAATATAAAAATTTCCCACATTCTCGTAGTCCTTTTTAATACTGAGTGGATTGTCTAAAAATGAAGTGAATAAATCCATAAAAAGAAAGCACTTTCATTGACTGTTACAAACCTTGTGTCTGGAGTCTTCCTAATATTAACAACTGATTCCGTCAGTTCATCAGCGCATTTGTCAAAACTCTTTGTCATCTGCGTCTGTTCATAAAATATAGAAACTGAGAAGTGTTTCAAACAAGAATTGTAATTGCAAAGAGAAGTGTTTTCTGTGTAGGGGTATATGTATTTTATTAGAAGGAAATTAACTCAATATCAAATAAGCCAGTATAAGTCGGTTCTCTTATAGTATTTCCCATCCAGCAATTTTTGGCAAAAAAGTATTATGTGTTGGCCAACCTGGTTTACGTTGAGATTTAATTATTTTGTTTTCTTGAGGAAATTTACATAAAAAATTGTCACTTCTTAAAAAACAAAAATGTATATAACACGCCTCTATGAGACATTATAAGCCAATTACACAAATAAACAGCAATGTCTTTTATCTTTATATCTAAGTCCGAGTTTATCTACACGTAGTATCCAGCATCTTATAGTTAGATCAAGCCAAGCCAATGGTCTAGAGGAGTCGCACAATTTCAGCCCAAATGGAGCAGGAAGAGGTTGTACGTATGCATTTCTAGCTAACATTGTAAAAATCATACCCATTACAAGGTTTGTCTTGACGTGATGCAATGCACCGTTATACTGTTTACATATTTTGTTATAGGAAATAATTATTCTTATCAAAAGCTTAACATTGTGTCGTACTCCATTCTCTGTCTCTGTTAAAAACTGTTACACAAATGTCAAGGGTTTAGTCTGTTTTTGGTTGTATTTTCTTTTGCTTTTTAGATCATCCATATTTCGGTTTCGGACTATTGAATGCAACAAAGATGATAGAACTAGCTATGAAACAAGATAAACCATATTATCTGCTATCTAAAACGTTTGAGAGAGCTGCAAGGTAAATATGTTTGCTTGTTCTTTCTATTAGAGTCGATTGTAGGCCTACTTTCAGTCAAATAATGTATTGGTGCATTAATATGTTTTGTTTGATTGTCTTTTCAAGTTTTCTTCGATATATCCCGAGAACTTCACTTTACTCAAAATTTTCTTTTTTCATTTCAGATCGTTCAAAAGTACATTAAAAGAAAGCTTTTACTACAATTGTAGTAGTAGAATCGACTTAACATGCATTGAAGCAGTTGAACATGTTGCTGTAACATTGGACATAATGACGAATGCAAAACACTTAAGTTTAAGCTTGATCTCACCATCGGAAACAATTTCTTTATTTTTAGAAAAATTTGAGGTAAGTTTATTACATGTTCATATTTTATGTTATGTTTTATTTGAAACCTCGGGGTTTTTTAATAGAAAGCAGTCATTTTCTGCAGATTAAGTACATGTATATTCAATAAACATCTTTCTGATTCAGGTAGAAAATGGAAAAGTGTCGGGAAAATTGGTTTCTGCGAATTTCTGGGATGAATCAGCTTTTGGTGAATGGACATTCAAAATTGTCATGCGTGATCCATTATCAGGTATGTAATATCTAATTCTTATTTTTCAATCATAAAAATGAAAACAATTACACTTAACTGATTTTCTACTTAGTCATCCCTAAAATAGCCCAGGTCTCCACGATACCGGTGTACATATTTTATACAAGGTGTTTTTCATATAAAAATTTACTGACTTGAAAAAAAGAAGGAAAAACAACTTCATTAACATTTAATCCTCTTAAAATTACATTACAGAGTTCTGTTACTCTGAATCACGCTCATTGCGAATGTAAACAATGGTCGACCATTTTGTATGACGTAATTAAACAGACTTCATGCTACCGGTGCACTGGTAAAAATGTTATTTATATGGAAAGCCACTGCAGTTTTAATAGCAAATATATCATTTTAGCATTCTTGTATTCATATCTGAAAAAAAATGCTTAAAAACAACATAAAAACGTGTGTTTCAATAATTTATTGTTCATCTTTTATGACTCCCAAGGCTGTTTTAGAACCTTTTCCTCCCAATTACAGGTGTATATTATACCATGTGGCTGGATTCAAAAATACCCCTTCACTTAATTTTAGTGTTGTTGTGATTGTCTGGTCCTTTTGTATCATTGAATCAATTTTATTTCTATATGATGAAGATAAAATATCGATATGGCACTTTACAAAAGACTGAATGAAACTGACTTTTTAATTTTCATAAACTATTTTATATGCACTAATGGCTTTCCATAGATTAATTTTTTCCCGCCAAAAATGATGTCAAAAGGTCAAGTGACATGTAATGGAGGTTGAATGACGTCAGCACCTGTGATTTTTTTATTTTCTTGGAAAAAAATGTGTTTTGTAGAGAGACTAATTTATGCAATGGAAAAATAGGATAGTATAATATAAAAATAAGGTAGGATATGTGAAATATTTCCTTCAGAAACTCTTGAAAATGTTTAAAAACTTTGAAATAGCCAATATTACTGGGAGCATGTCAATATAAACACTCGGTACGTGGTGGTGACAAAAATATCGCGAGATTTGTGAATATACCGGTACCGTGGAGTCACCGGTATCATGGGGTTCGAGTATACATTGTTTCGGATAGTCATTGCAATATTATTTCTTAAATATTGTAATTAAATCTTATAATTATGTCATAAACAGTCATTTCCAATGAGCTTATCATTTTCTTTAATCATGCAAAGTTAAAAATGGTTCTTGTCAAAAAGAAATTTAAACATAAGTTAACAATGGAAGCCGATGTTAGGCGCCATGAAACTTTAACGACCAACAATCCAATAGCTCAACAACGTTCTTGTATTAACATTTTATGTGTTTCTTTTTCTGAGATTTTCAAAACATATTTTTTATCTTAACCTTTATCACAAGCATCATTTCCTGGCGGATGGTGCACAAGATTTCTTTGTAATTTTCTTTGATCACGACCTGTTGATTTTCATATGATTATTTGGTTTTGAATGTTGGTTTGATAGAAATAACATTTATAAGAAAATATATGTTCATAAAGCTGAAACTTTCCGACAAAATGCATTTTAAGGGGTAACTTATTAGAAATTTGGTAAAGGATGGTCGAAAATCACAGACTAATTTTAAATGAGGCATTTTTGAAAGTTCATCAGCTCTCACACAATACCCTTTTGCCATTAATGATTCAAAAGGACCAGAAGAATATATAACAACGATTAGAAGTTCGACATACACTTACTTTTAAATTCTGGATGAGGTTAGATATTTACAATATACACTAAAGAACCTACATCGAATTCAAAGAATAACACATTATGAAGTCACTGTTAACATCATGTTAAAAGCAATCAACAAGTATAGCAACAAACAGAAACAGGTATTAAATGTTAAAGGATGCATGAAGCACGGGAGCAAAGAAACGGACAAAGGGCAAAATGATAAAGAAAATATTGTAAGAAAAAAACGTTTGGTATGAATAAATTCTGATAAAATACCTAGGAAATCATCATTTTTTGTCTTAGTTGCAATTTGTAAATAATGTCGTTCTACATTATTGGAATATTGTAAACGACTTTATCTTTCAGTCACATGCCAATTGGTACACATTTCTCAACTGCCATATTCTGATTGAATCATTTATCATTTCAAAACCTTGTCATTTGTGGCGAAAAACCATAGCTTGACTAAACAAATTAGGTGTAGCTAATCTAATTTA